ATGGCAGGAGTTTCTTTCCTGCCATCTATGGCAGATTCCCGGGCGCCGAACAATCGAAGTGGGTGTTGGGTGTTGGTGTGGATACCCACCACCTTTCCTCGGGCCGACGGACCTGCACTCAGATATTTGTGCCTCGTCGTGTGATCGAGGACCTACACTCAAACTTGTGCCTCGTCTTATAATTGTGATTTGTGATCACAACCACACCACAGCAGTCTCCGAGACTGCTGTAGTACCGGAAATAAAAAATTACCGCCGCTCTTCTTGGAAAGTACTATTTAGAATAGTTTGTATTTCGTCTCTTGGCCACCTTTTCCTCAAGCCCACGGACCTGCACTCAAATATTTGTGCCTCGTCGTGTGATTGAGGACCTGCACTCAAACTTGTGCCTCGTCTGGTAATTGTGATTTGTGTTATCACAACCACACCACGGCAGAGACTGCCGGAAAGTAGACGTGTAGTCTGTACTCCCTCCGTTCCGTAATATAAGTACGGTTTGGACAAAAAGCGGTACCCATCCCGAACCGNCGGCAGAGACTGCCGGAAAGTAGACGTGTAGTCTGTACTCCCTCCGTTCCGTAATATAAGTACGGTTTGGACAAAAAGCGGTACCCATCCCGAACCGTTTTTTTGTTGGTTCTGGCCTCGAAGCGCGGAACGCACAGAACCGGTGTCGAATGATGATGGATACCACCCCCCTCTCTAACTGGTGACGATGGACTGCCCCCCGTTCTTCTGTAACAGACGCACGAGCCTACTGCAGGTACTTTTGTGCAACCACCACAAAAAACTGTTCCACCTCCAACTCTAGTAGAGTTAGATTTTGAGCAGTGCATGGCCGATGCTTGTGTGTTTCGTTTGATTGAGGATGGATGTGTTGTTTGATTTTGGTAGTACATAGTCTACATGTTGTTGTTGTTGTTGTTGTTGACTTCACATTAAACCGTATGCCAGTTGCTAAATGCCAAAATCTAGCAAAGACTCTCAGCCCGTGGTCACGAAAGTGCTAGAGCCATCTGAGGATCTAAAGAACACGCACACGTAGCAAGAAAAAGGTATCCAAGAGCCCGAAGAGGTA